TAAAAGAAACTTAGAAGAAAGTGAACAACTTCAGGGGATCGACTTCTCCTAGTGGGGACAGATTGTCTCCTGCCTACCAAGAGACAATGTTAGGAGTATCTGAACTGGTCAAGCTTACCGATTCTGAGAACCTGCCAGTCTCCCTTCCATCCCTATCGATAAGCTCCTGACCAAAGTAGCCATGGTGGTCAATATGGAGTGTGTACATGCAATCAGGCACATGGCTGTCTACTCACCCGCCTAGTCAGACTATAGTGACTGATATGTGTCCAGCTAACTCCAAATGAACCAACACTGGTTTCCAGAACTAGCAAGCCACTCTCGGGGGCAATCACTCAGCTATCTGATGACAAAACCACTTCTACTTGGAAGGCAATAGTTTCTTCTTAGCTTTTTCTATGGCTTTGCCTTTTCTACTTAAAATATCTCACCAAATTCAGCAACTGGACACTCACAGAATTATTCTTACCTCCCACCGTGATATTCCATGCTTTGCTTCTGACTGGGGAACTTACTTTGTGGTGTGTGCTCACAGAATTCATCAGGCCCACCATGGTGACTAGCATTCTGAAGCAGAAGCAGGGTGGAGCGGTTCTCACACACCTGTTGCTATGCTAGCGAATGGAAATGTTTTACTGGGCTAATGTCCCATAAGATCCAGTAAAGTCTGAGTCATCAGTCAGTATATGTTGTTTCTACCTTACCCAAGATTCCTAACTCCTGGAATCAAAGGATAGAAACAGAACAAGCTTCTCTTGATGCTGTTGTGAACTATCCACTTACAAAACTTGTTCTTTTTAGCCTCAAATTTAGAAGCTTTAGATCCTTAGAAATATTTCCATTGGAAGATGCAATATGGACCCATTATGCCAGAAGCTGGCATTGATGGCTACCTTATATTCAGAATCAAAAGGAGGGCTGGAGAGATGGCTCTGCTGTTAAAAGCACACACTGCTCTTATACAGGTCCCAAGTTCAGTTCTCAGCACCAATGTTGGGTAGCTCATAACTGTCTGTAACTCCAGCTCCATGGAATCCAACATACTCTTCTAGCCTCAGAAGATACCTACACACACACACACACACACACACACACACACACACACACACACACCAATTATAAAGGAAATATACATTTTTTAAAAGTAGATTTTGCCATATGGAATGACATGATTGTGACTTCCACAAGTAAATTGGGCTGGTACTGAACTACTGAGTTAAGTAACAGTGCATCTGGAATGCCAGAGTGTGTCTTGGACTGCTCGCTGTGCCCTGGCCTTGCTTTTGTTACTAGAATAAAAGTAAAGAAAAACAATCTCACTTGTCAAGGTCTGGGCCCTTCAGAAGGCCAGGAATCATGATGAAGGATGCTCTTGCTGAGGACAAAGGGATGGGATGAACAAGGAAAGAGGGCGGTTCTAAACACTATGACAGTAAAACCAGCCCAGACAGGAACAGCCTTTCCTCGAATTCCGTTGCCATGTTCACATCACACTGGGTAAAGATGTCTTAGAAGAAATATGTATCAAGTTGGGAAAGAATCAAAGATAAGTAACCATTATCCTTTAGAGGGGGTACCAGGGAGAACTAGAGTGAGCATGCATTTGCCTTGACCCTGTGACTTACCTGGGCTTAGCAGAAGTCATGATTTTAGCGCCTATGCTCTATCTCAGTCTCCTCCTGCTCCATCTTCAAGTCACAGGCGAGGTGCACACATTCAGCAAACGGTGCTAGGGTCTCAGGACCCCACATCCAAGTGGATAAGGGCTGATGTGGCTCCTAGCTTACCTTTGTAATTTCATCTTTGCACCCCTGTATTTCATGTCCAATTTTTCTCTTATGGAATTACTGACAGAGACTTCAGGTCACATCACAGAGTAGCAATACTCTGCCATGAGTCTTCCAATGTTTCTGCTTTTGATCAGATCCTGATTATTTCACACCATTGGTAAAGGGAAGCACAGAGCCAGAAATCAGGAACCAGTGACAGTATTATCATCATACCCTACCCCCTCCAAAGGGCAGCTCTTCTACAGGTGGGTAAAGCTGGGGACACCATGGTCCTTGAACATTGTATTACTCATCTTTTTGAATATCAGCACTTCTACATTTTCTACTGCGCCCCATCCCAGGATCCACCTATTACCAATGCCAAATCAGAGGGTGGAACATGGGACTCAAGATTAAAAACAAAACCACATATGTCTATATCGTTCATGTCCAAGATCCAGTTCACAAATGAGGTGAAGGTTAAGACTACTTGATCTGCCATCGGGCTCACCAGGCTCACCCTCAGAGGATCTGGATAAAGCAGAACTCTCTTTGAACTTTCAGAGTAAGATTTGGATCCTGATTCCACATTAGTACTCCACCTGCCCATTTTCTCCTGTTTCTTGTCTCTTTAGCTTCTCAGCAGTCATCTCTCACTTGCTGCCAGCAAGGGGGTCACTGAGTCTTATGAACTTTCTCCTCCTCTGTCATTTTGCAGACCTTCTTGTCTTTCTCCCTTCTCTACCTCACCAACTTTAGAGCAAAGGTAGCCAGCAAGAACTCTTCTGTGAACTGAGCTGTCGACGTTGATTGGTCCTCGCTGACTGGAAAAGTACCTGTCAGCAACTAAAATCCACATGGAGGATCTGGAGTTGATCTGTTTGTACCAAGGTAATGAAGCTATCCAGCCTTTCGAACTCACTAGATCTATTACAGGTTCATTCTATTAAATCATATTCTTTCAGCATGGACCATGCACCCCGAGAATGACGCATGAGGAGGATGGAGACTGCTTTCTCAGAAGACACCATCATTTCTCAACTCCATCCTGAAAGTTGTCAGCAGCGAGTGAGGCCCAGAATGCTGGGCGATCCACTCTCCGGAGCAATGGCAGGGCAGGGCTGCTCGCGTGTGCTCATGAGTGATTAACATTCCTCATGAAGGAACGGAGGCTCGGTGACTCAGAGCAGATGAGGAATAAAAACCTGAGTCCTTCTCAGAATCCTTGGTATGCTGGTTGGCAGGATTCCTGTCTCCTTCGAGGCAGACCGTCTCTTAAGCCCCTAAATTTCCAAACACATAAATCATGTCCAGGTAGCTATTGATTCTTGCCCTTCCTTTGCAGAAGAAATGATGAGAAGGTAAAGAGAAAGAAGAGGAAGGGGGAAAGAGAATTTTATATGCTATCAGAACTTTAATGTTTAGACCTCGAAAATAAGCCTGACACACTACCATGTCTGTCACCGTGTGGCACTACTGTGTCTAAATCACCGTGTGCCACTATGTCTAAGTCACTGTGTGTGTCTAAGTCACTGTGAATCAGAAGTTGACTCTTTTCAGCAATGCTCTAGTTGACAGTTAAAAAAAAACAACAAAAAACCGTTTACAGAACAGAAACACTAAACAGATTTACTTTTTGTCTACTTCATACTTTATATTAGACCTCAATAATTCCTCTAGCCCTCAGTTAATTCCCGTTATGTTGAATTTCCACTTTTCTAATGGAAGGAAGATTTAAAAGACTCTTGGCAGACAAGCTATTTGAAAATCAATGTGAAAATATTTCTTGTGTAACATTTGCACACTAATGTTCACAAAAATGTTTATGCCAAATGTAGTCACACAGAGCCAGACATGCTGGAATCCTCAGTGCTTGCTCACACTGAGCAAGCTTTGGAGTGCTGTATGTCCTCCGGGTGGCTAAGTCCCTCTAGCTATGCACTCTGATAAAACATAGACCACACTGAGATTCTCCTCGTCTCCCATCGCACCTCCAACGGTCTGTGAGCTGAATACCCAGCGTTGTCATCATCAAGGTATACACAAAGAGCTGGGTTCTATTGACTGGGGAAAAATCTTGTACTACCGGGTGAACGTCCCTAAGAAATGTCAAGTGAGCTGGTAGTAATGAAGGTGGGACTGTGAGAATCATAAATGACAGCTTGTCACTGATATTTACATATAGCTGCCAGGATGAAAACTGTATTCTAAACCTTTAATTTGGCAATGATTTAGTCTCATGTCTGATGGGAGCCTCTCAAATCCATAAGCCCACTGCCCTGCCAGAGGATCGGAGGTAGCAGAAAGGGCCGTGGTTCTGTGATCTGGAGCCTCCACAAGCACGTTTCCTGCTTTACCTCCCTCTCACCTCCATCTCCCTGTGTGAAAGCCCGTGCTTGATCCCTAACTATGCTATGTGTATAATACCAGAGGCAAGAGGAGCATGATCCTAGCCAGATAAAAGAGGGGTGAGTGCAAAGAACGACACATCCCCAAACGAGTTTCATTTATGTAATGAAATAAATCTTTACACCATCAACAAAAACACACCAAGATTTTTTTTTGCGAAAAATATTTTTAAATAAAGTTTTGTCATTTTTTTTTACATTCTGATATACATATGTAACAAGGTTTATGGCACTGTAACCAGAATCAAATCAAAAAAGAAAAAGAAAGAGAAGTAAAGAAAGAAAAAGGAAAGAAAGGAAAAGAGGGAGCGGGTGGGAGGGAAAGCCACTGGTATTGTTGAGTTCCTCTCTCCAAGCTGGTTTGATTTGTAACTCGGCTGCCAGCTCTAACTCACCCACACACTCCAAACACCATTTTTATTGCACAAGTGCCAGCAAAGGCACATGGTATAACGGCCAGTTTCCTTCTATTAAAAAAAAGAAAGAAAGGAAGGAAGTTCTCTCAAACCCAGAGAAGGGGGATTACTATCCAGAACATGAACCACACCAAATCAACAATGCTCTCTCCAGAGAGCGCGTGAGGGAGTCTAAGACCACTGAGGCTGCCAGCCCTTCTCTTCGCACCAGTGAGCGCAACAGGGCACGGTTTGGCGGGGTTTCTCCTCTACATGGTTGGCCAGGTAGGTTCCAGGTCTTCGAAAGCCAGTGTCTTTCCACTTACTTTTGGGTCTTTGTAACTGAAGGGTGGTATCTTCGGTCTATGAGCCTGCACAGACGATTTAGTCAGAAACCCTACAACGGCTAACAAGGAGAACTGGGGAGAAACAGTTTCAGAATCTTTTTATTTGTTGGCTTTTAAAAAATGACCTCTTTAACCTCCTTGCAAAACCAGACGAAGAGAAGCGGCTCTCAATGGCATCAGAAGTTCTAGTCTCCTCACACTTATTAAAAATAGAGTCTTTAGACAAGTCTGCTGCCTTTCACAAACATTCCCCCAAGTTAAAAAGAAAGAAAAAAAAAACAGAAAGGAAAAACAGAAAACAAAACCAAAGCCAGACCCCGCCCCTTCACTCCTGTCCATTGTCTCACAGAGCCACGGCCCTTGCCAGCCTGCCTGCTGTCACACAACCGTCTCCATGCCCATCAGCTTTGGTGTCAGGATCCGTGGTGTCACGCCATTGTTAAGGTCTTCCTCGAATTCCAGCAACTGCCCCATGAAGTTGAGGTTCGGGGAGATAATTGGTCGTTTGCCTTTGACGAATTTGTAAGCGTCAGTCATGGTCATCCGTGTGTGCTTCATCAAGTAGGCGATGACGATGGTGGCAGAGCGGGACACACCGGCCTGGCAGTGGATGAGAAGGCCCTTTCCACACTGATGAGCTTCCTCTGTGGGAGAGAGAGACAGGCGGTGAGGGGGAGGCAAGGGGGGCAGAGGGAGGTCAGTGTTTCCTTCTGTACAGGAAGAATGGACTCAAACAGTTTTACAGCATAATATACCAGTGGGTTCTACGTGTTCAAGTAACGAGCTACAGAAATTGACTATAAGCAGGAACACTGGTCTGCATTTTCTTAAATTATTAAAAAAATTGGGGGGATACTCATGCCACAGTATGCATGGGAAGGTCAAAGGACAACTTGGGAGAGTCAGTTTTCTCTTTCCACTGTGAGTCTGAGGATGGAACTCAGGATGTCACTCTTGGCAGCAAGCTCCGTTACCCACTGAACTATCTCATTGATCTCCTTTTTTTTTGAGGTGTGTGTTGCATGTGGGGGTAGATGAATGTTTATATATGTGTCAGTGCATGCTCACATGTGTCTGTAGAAAGCCATGGTTGATGTCATGTGTCTTCAGGATCACTCTCCATGTTATATGACACAGCATCTCTTGCTGAACTCAGAGCTCACTATTTCTGTTGGTCCAGATACCCAGCTTGCTCAAGGGTGCTCCATCTCAGTCCCTTGTGCCACGGAATTCCAGACAGGCTGTCTCAGCTATATGTGGGCTCTGGTGATCCAAGACCCCATCTTTATGCTTACGCGGTAAGTTCGTTACCTGCTGAGTCATCTTCCCAGCCCCGCCCCTAGAGTTCTACATTTAGAGAGAAGACACACTGACACACTCATGACGAGCAAGCCTCTAAGCTCACCATACCTACAACAGGACACACTGACACACTCATGACGAGCAAGCAGCTATGTTTGCCATAATTGTTACCAGACCTCTCTTTTCCCCCATCTTGCTCCTTTTCTATTTTCTATAAAATCATACCTTTGACTAAAAGGGAAGGAAAAGTAAAGGATGACAGAGGAAATGGAAATTATGTTACATACACCAATGACCATAAATGATAAAATTCTTCCTCTGATTAACAATGTTAATTCCACTTTTCAGATTATATGATTATAGGACTGAAAAACTAGTGCTATGAGCAATGCATCGTCTACATGCTAGACACACACACCCCTACCTTTCTTCATCCTATAGAAGGTTATTCTCTCTAAGAGGTAGCATTTAATGTGTAAGTTTTACTTAAATCTCCATGGAAAGGAAGAAATAAAGCTCAGCTAGAAAGTTCCTATATTCAGCTTCTCCCCGACGTGTGGAATGCGAAACAACTGCATGGCCCTCTCCCATGTCTTCAACCCCTCACCCCCACATACACTGTTCTTACATGGCAATCATTTAGAAGGCAGGATTCCCAAGTAGCTTAGAACTGAGAGCAACTGAAAGTGGCAGGTTTAATACTAAAAGCTTTGGATGCCTGTGAACACTAGACAATATTTCAGTGACATTTCTAGGTTAAAACATACCCCTCCCCCAGGAAGGGTCCTCAGGGGAATGCAGGTCAGTGATCTGGTAGAAGAGAAGAGGATAAAGAGATTTATCCCTTAGCTTAAATCATCTCCGTCAGCTGCTTACCAGAAGACTAAGAGGCAAACAGGACGGAAGTCTCTTTCGTTATCAACCTATAGACCAGCTTGGAACAAGAGAGCCCTTTCTCCCTTTCTCAACTTCCCTTTGGCACACCCTAAATGACTTCCCAAACCAAGAACACCAAACATGGCGGTTAGAGAATGACCAAGGTGCATCATGGGTTTGACCACCTGTTCCACTAACCCACTAGCTGAGTGACCTTGTGAGTCTTCTGACCCCCAGGACCACAGTCTTCCTGCCTGGATAATTCCAAAGACGCTAGCTCACCAGCCTCTGAAACTGTGGCAATTAAATTCAGCGGTTAAACTGGCATTGTTAAACCCTAAACCTGGGCACTGCTTAGTTTAGATTAAACTCAGGAGAATGCTATTATGCTGTGGACCCTGCTGCGCTCCCCCCTGTAGCCACACTATAAAATTTCAGTTTATCCAATCAGAGGACAAGAAGAACAAAGTTGAGCCCGAACACGTGATGCTGCATTGCTCTGCAAACTAAATGTTGCTTGTGATTAGTTTTGTTTTCTTCTAAAAGAGCAGGTAAGCCTGAATAATCCAGAAGGAATGTGAGCACCCTGACTGTAATCTTAGAACAAGCCCATCCCCTGCTACTCACTAAGTGGAAAACAATTTCCCAACTTCCTCCACCTGGAATTAAGTCAGAGGAAACTCTCCTTTATAGCAGCCTCTATTGACCAGGAACTTCCTCGTCTACCTGGGGGCAAGCATTTCTTACTCACAATTCAAGGCTTGGCTCAGATTTTATGACTAAAAGATCCAGGGCATCTTTATCCAGTGCTAGGAATTAATTAATGGGGCATGGTAAACGTGGGCCCAGAGTGTTGGACAAAGAGTCCAGGCTAGGAGTCTAGAGCACTAGGACACTGGACCCTTTGTTTTTATTTGTTTACTTATCACTCCCCTCCTGCCGTGAGTATAGGTACCACAGCACACAAGGGAGGTCACTGTGGGTCCTTGCCGGTCACCTTCTTTGAGTTGGAACTTTTTGTGCCACTGCGGACACCAAGCTAGCTATTCTGTGAGTGTCTAGGGGCTGTCCGCCTCCCATCTTGCTATAGGAGAGAAGGTATTATTATGCATGCCTGCGCCTGAATTTCCTTGGGTTCTGGGGATTCAAACTCGGGTCTTCACTTTCCCTATTGTGCCATCTCCTCAACCCCCAGTTCCCTCTGGACACTAGAACTTCTGATGTGGAAAGGTCACCTGACTTCTGAGTTTAAGAGGACACTCTGGCTATCTGTCCAGCATGTCCAAGGAAAGCCAAGCAATGGAGGACAAACTGGGAAGAAAAACAGGCAAGCAAGAGTCCAGAACTGCCAGCTTGTCCACAAATCCATCATCCTGTGGCTACTCAACTGGAGACTATTTTTCTGTCAAAACAGCGACAACCATGAGTGACTTTGAGACAGAGACCCGTGACAGCCTGAAGCAATAATGTGGAAAGCACTGGGCTACCTCTTTGCACTGATAAAAGCCAAAGTCTCTTGGAAACAATGGTGAGCATCTGTCATCTGCTCCTATTGGCTCCAGTCATCCTGAGTCTCACCACAATGCTGCAGCAACTACCAAAGCTGAGGTCGGCATCGAGCTGATTGGTGGTTGCATCCTTTTGAGGTTAGAGTCTAGAATTGCTAGAATGTTCCTTCTTGGGTCCTACAGGGGCATTACTTCCCTGAGCCTGAGACCAAGTGTCAAAGCAAACATGTTCCTTCTCACGAGCACTAATAATGTCGGTCCTCGTCACTCAACGAACTGAGATCATTTAGGCGGAAGAACACAATCCGGCCATTCTTCCTTCCCTTGTCTGTAAGGATGTAACATGTGAGGGGACTCAGCATGGCCTGGTCGGCTTTATGAAGAAGTTTCTTCAGAACCAACCCTTTCACAAATGTTGCCTTGGCCTCGGCCTCAAGAGAAGAGGCCGCACATACTGTGACTCAGCGCAACTCATGGTGCTGGATGGTAATCACGATCCCTAGGCTGAGTGAATAAAGCTGAACAAGGTGGAAGGAAGGTGAGGGCAGTTAAGAGGTGATATCACAGTCTCTACTTGGTGTGCCCTTCAGAGCCAGGGAGGGGGCGGGGCTGCATGGACTAGGCAGCAGGACCACCTCTGACCAGTTCCTCATGTTCCCCTTCATTCTCCTGGTCGTACAATATCTAACTGTCAGCCTCCACTGGCGAACTTTGTTTCTTGAGGGATAGACAGGAACTTGTGGTAGAACAGATGTTGGACAAAGACACATTATCGCTTTAGTTTGAACATGAAATGGCTCCACAGACTTGTGTCAAATGCTTGGTCTCAAGCTGGTGGCATAGCTTCCGAAGGTCTTTAAAACTTGACAAGAGAACCCTTGCCTTGGGAAGTAGGTCACCCACTGTGTGTCACTGAGGACAGCAATATGTTATCTTGGTCCCCACCCTCTTCCTAATCACCATGAATTCAGCAGTCTTTGTCACACACACCCACCGCTGTAATCTGTCTCTTACCACAGGCCCAGAATCAATGGTTCCGAGGACCAAAGCCCCTGAGATCATAAGCCAAGAAAACTGCTCCCTTCAGGTCAGCCTCTCAGGTACTTTAGCCACGGAAACAGAAATCTCACTAATTCAACCACTCTTTTACGTCCATCCAGAGAGTTCCGAGACTTAAAGGAAGGACTATGGTTTAGGTAGTTTGCTTGTTTTCCCCTGGCCTAGGAATAAGCCTTGGACCTTATATCAAACCCAGAGCTGAAGGGAAGGGAGAGCTCCCCGCACACCCCAGGTGATAGTTACCAATGAATTCAAATGCCTCTTCAAAGTACTGTCGCAGGTTCTGCTTGTTGCTATCAGTGGCCGGCAGCCGCTTGTAGTTGAAGAGGCCTTTCTCATAGTGGTAGAGCGGAAGGTGAGTGGTGACGTTGATGACGTAGCCGATGTTGAGCCTCTGCATGGTGTCTAGGTCCTGAGCATCCTGCTCATTGCCCAGGAACAGGAAGGGCAGGATGGGCGTCAGCTCTGCATTCTCGATGTCAGGGGTGGTGGGGACAGACTGAGGTAGCATGCTCGAGGCCGCCGAGGCGCCGCCCCCCACCTCCCGGCACTCTTGGAGCTGGAGGGAGTTGTCACAGAGGTTCTCATGGTTCTGCTTAAAACTACTGAGTCCCCCTGGAAGGAAAACACAGAGAGCATACATGAGTAAGACAACAGAGCCCACAGCAAAGGTCGGCTTCCCCACAGAGGTGAGTGCCACTGTGGCTAGGTCCATTCTGAACACTTCTAGAATAGAAACAAAAACCAGGAGTCTGTTTGGGTACACAGAGCGGCTTCAGAGAGCTTCTGCTCCTTATTGCACAAACTGAGCCAAGGTGCCTGGGAACACGTCCCACACAACACCCAGTAATTTCATCAACTCCATATTTATTTGTTTCTAACAGACATTAGGTCCCTGGCCTACATAGAGCCTTGCACTTTGGGAGTGGAGAAAAGCAGGGACAACACTGTCCTACAGAGAACTTCTGCTTGTATCCTGGCACTGTGCACATGGGTCCTGTACCATTTATAGCTCACCTTAGTGAAAGCCAAGTTCATTCCGTATGTAGCAGAGCAGTTACAAGCAGGTGCCGTGGAAAAGCCAGGCTGTGCTGGCTGTGGTCCTACTACCATTGCTGACCTGCCTGTTGAGTTGCGCAAGATCAGTTCTCTGTGTGTCTCGGTAACCCCACGAGCGTACAGTGTGTGCCTCAAGTATGTAGTGTGTCTCTCCGTGTGTGTGTCTGAGATGGGCACAAACACAGGCCAAGAGTTCAATACACCCTCCCCCTCCAGACTTGCATGGTCACTCTGCATGAAGTAGCTATTTCTATTCATGTTATTGCTATGAATGCCCAAAGGTAGAAACCGCAGAGGGGAGCTGGGCAAGGGAAGTTAGCGCTGGGAGAGCGGCTCAGGATCTACCTGACCTTCCACACCCATTCTTGACTTCCAAGAGAGTGGCGTGTGCGAGTGGTCCGTTTTCCTGTCCTTAGCTTCTAGAGGTTTGTGAGCACACTAACCCGCTAACTATGACCGTGATGGATCTCCTAACGCACACTCTGAGCTGGAGGCTCTGCTCTAACGCCAAGAGCCGAGTCGGAAACACTTCAAAGATCTGGGCTGCACCTGTTCCCCCACTTTCAGCATGCAAACAAGGCCTTGTGATAGTACAGTCACTTATGGAAATCACACGGCCACAGGTGTGTGAGTAGACACATGGGGATGTTCACGCAACATCCGCAACATCATCTGCTTAACTGGGGAAGCAGAGACCTGGCTCCACAACACACACACACACACACACACACACACACACAACATAAACGTACACACAATAACAGTAACTTTAAAAAGAAAAGGCTAAGTAAATACAACAATATAACTCAGTAATAATTATGTTCATCCATGGAATATTATGCAGCCATTAAAGGAATAACTATATAAAGAATAAAAGAATCAAAGAAAATGCTTCCATTCAATGTTAAGTAACAAACAGTTAATTCAACTGTTTAATTAAACATTCTGCAGAAAGTCTAAAGCCTATACACAAAAAGAAGAATTACAGAAATCTATGGATTGGAGTTTGTCACTTGACTTGTCCATTCTTATGTTACACACAATTATGCATGAACAAACCTGAAGGATTATGAAGCTCACATGATACAAGGTACATGAGAGACATTAAGAGACCTCGGGCGGGGTCATCAAATGAGCATAAATTACCAAAGAGCAGGATAGGGCACTCGAAGCCTTCTGGGAAAGTGAGAGGCACCGTGGAGTTCCCAGAAGTCATGTCCTGCCAGTCCCAGAGGTCTTAACAGTCCTCAGGCATGAGGTCGAAAGCACAAACCCCGAATAGGATATATGGTTGTGTTAACAGGGCAGGAAGTCCATTTGTCTACCAGCTTTTGAACGGACACCACACTCTTCCTCATCTCGTCTCAGTTTTGACCACTAGAGCAGGGGACTTGAATAGAGCCATGTCCCCAGCCAATGGGCACAGCCAGCTGTGTGACAGAAGACCAGGCATATTTTCAGTGGGAAATGGTAATGATCCACAGACAACTCAGGAGGGCTATCCTGTGCTCAGACAAAAAGGAGAACAGTTAAAAAAAAAAAAGATTTACAGGCGAGCACACGGGAGCTTTAACTTCATTTGACTTCGCTTCTGTAATTAAACTCTGCCCTTGATCGTCTGTTGTGAAATCAGTACACCCGGGTGACTAGCCCGGAGGGAGCCCAACTACCAAAAAAAAAAATACAAGACACAAGAAAACGTCACCAATGAATATGTAAAAACTGCCCCTGACACTGCCCCAGACTCCACAGAGGACACTGGAAGGAGCTGTGTTGAAATCTGTTGGGTTCCACAAGTCCCACAGTAAACAGTCCCACACTGATCCTGTCAGGGGAGCCCAATTCACTTTCCCCTTAAGAAAAAGGCACTTGGCAACATTTTTTTTCCATATACATTGAGGGGAAGGGCTGGGAAACTGAACTCAAAAGGAGAGGCTGGGAAGTGGGGGAGGATTCTCGTTCTTATTTGCTGTATTCAAGCAGTAATTTGTCTTAAAAGCAGCTAGCTAGAAAAAAAATAAAAGCATGCCAACCCCTCCTACCACCTCCCCCCACACAAAATACCCAGCATAGAGCTTTTTAAAATTCAGTCTCAGCCCCTCCTTTCCCAGTGACATCAGCCGGAGGCTCCCCACCTGCCCAGTTGCCATAGCAGTCACACAAAGACACACAATGACATCAGTTGGCATGATATCAGCTCTTTGAATGCAAACAATACAAGAAGAACTACTTTGTTTAAGGCCTCGGGTACAACTGTGTTCTGGGGAGCCAATGACGTAATGCTAACAGGTGGCAAGGGGCCTTCCATTTGCCTAATGGGGAGAGAATATGGGGGAGGGAGTGGGTCAGAGGGAGTCTGAGGCCGACACACGGGACGCTTCTACCATAGCGTGTTTTGTGCTGTGTGAAATGACGTGTGTTGTATGTGTGAGACATGTGGGAAAGGCTATCTGTAGGGAGAGAAGAGGGGAAAGGCCATGTGACCCAAACATCTCAGCTGGAAAGGAAGGAAGCTCTCACTGAGGGTCTAAAGGAAGGCTCCAGTTGAGTCCGCTCATGCCGGGCACTTGTCCTCACACAAGGGTGGTGTGCGGGGACACGCGAAAGTGGAGGCTCTCTCCCAGACGGCTTTTACAGCAGTCTGAAACAGTAGTATCTCACAAGAGTGTTTCAGAGAAACCTGCATGGAGGTTGTTCTTGCCTCCTAGGGGTGAGAGTGGGGATGGTGTGGGGCCCTGGGATTGGTAGCAGCAGTAGAAGGGAAGAACAGAGCTAAGGACGTCACTTTTGGCCCTCTGACCCCATCAAATGATTACCCAATCATTTAATTCTGTTTGGCGTGGTTATATAAGAGCTACAAGAGGCTGGGAAGATGGCTCCATCAGCAAAGGGCCTGCTGCACAAGTATTATCTGAGTTCAGATCCCCAACACCCTTCTGAAGGCAAGGAATGACGTATATGTAACCCCCACACTGGGGAGGAGATGGTTCCCTTGTACTTCACTGGCCAGCTTAGCAAACACACGTGTGCGGGCGCGCACACACACCCACATACACAGGCACGCACACACACAAGAATAAAAGCATCACTAACCCATTATTGGAGTGGAGGGAGTTCAGTATGGTGAATGGAGACACAGGGGCCCAGTCTATGGTGAGGACACCACCTCTTAGGAACTTGCCCTTGGGAAGGATCAGCTTACCATGAATCAGGCATAATATAGCCTATGCATTGTGCTGGGGTAGAGGGCACCTATGAAGGTTTATAGACACATCACATGGCATTCCATACATCCCACCTCATGCCCATGTCATCGACTTGGTCCTCATCTCCACCCAATCTGGTGATGCGGCGAAGATGCTGGAGTGGGAGCCTGCCCTGCCCTGTTAGACCTTCACTAGGAGACCCTAGGCTCCTCATCTGTCTCTTCTTCAAGTCCCCTACCAAAGTCAGAGGTAATAGTAGCACCTACCCCATACTATTCTAAGAACAAAAGAAGCTAACGAATACCAAGTTTGCCGAAATCATTTTGGGTATGTGAGGCATACTTTATTCATTTCTAGAAATAAACGCCGACGTCATACAAAAACTCGGACAAGTGAATGTAAATAAATAAATTATAAATATAATAAATATATCTTAGTATTTATTTATTTGATATTTCTCTGTATATCTGGCTGACCCGGTACTAAGTCTACCAAGCTGGCCTCAAGCTCATGGCTATCCTCCTGCCTCAGGCTCCACCCTGAGTACTACACCGTCATGCCCAGCTTAAATTTTTACTTATGAATTAACTAGGAGCCAACTTATCCAAGGAGTTTTAAAGTTTGAGTAACACAACTGCTCTGACTTTCCCTTGGATTAGCTTTCACAGTGAAGATTTGGGGTTCCTGGTTCTGCCAGAAACTGGGCTTTTAACATATGAAACACTTTTTACCCTTTCCCCAGCCCCCACTCCAAACCGGATCGGCTTCCTGCACAGAAGGGGCTTGCAGTTGTCAATGCAAATATTTCTGAGACACGCACAACAATGCACAACAATGCACAACAATGCACAACAATGCACAACAATGCGGAGAAGACGCGTTTTCAACCCTGGTCTCAAAATCGGGTGTCCTCGGCTGCCTTTGAGTCCATGAGTTTGAAAGGTGACTAGAAAACATTGAGTACTTTAAAAGAAAAATACAGCTAGGTTTCACCTGCAAAGGCCAGGTGAGTTCAGGGGCAGCCCAGGACAGTGACAGACTCTCACTTTGGTGGGAAAATCCGCTTTTGTAGCCAAACTTCTGCTCCTGCTGCTGTTAGCTACGGCGGTGCCTTCTGTGGTGCCATTCTCTGACTGCGGGGCTAAAGAACCAAAGCTCACACGCAGAATCCATAAGCAGGAGACGGCCAGACTCTACAGAGATTAGTCAGAAATATAAGGAGAACACTGCCTGGAGGTCAATGAATAGAATTAGCATCTACAGAATGAAGCAGGGGTACTATTCTAAAATTGTACTCTTACTGTTTGGGGCAAGAACACTGCTTTATACTGTGTTCTCAGTCAGGACATT